TGTGAAAATAAAAACAAGTCTACCAACAGCACAACAATTACATACTATTACAGGGCTGGGCTTATTTAGACTGTGGAAGTTTAATTATAAAAATTGCATTTTAATTGATCGCTGCTGGAATAATTACAGCAACACCTTTCTAAGAAATGGCGACCATCCTATGTTTGTCAACAAAGAAGCTTCCTTTAAATTCAACATGCAATAATTGTTTAATTAAGCCAAATTTAGATCCTCGTTTGAGAACATTCAAATGTTTGCCTATTCCTTCCTGTCTCTGAGAGGTAATTTAAGAGATGAAAAGCAATCTCCAGAAATACTCTATCTATATACGTAAGCATGCAAGAAAAAGAAATATTTCATTTCATAGCTGATCTGGATCGAAACTTGCTGCTATTGATAAGAATATAAGCACAGAGCGAGCGATCACTACAAATCCCTCTCTAATTGGTGCTGGGAGGCCTTCATAAAATATGAACAGACTCCAAACTACATGTTCATTTTCTAATACGCAGAACAGATTCAACTGTTGATATTCTAGCAGCACCCACAGCCCGTACTCAGTATGAGGACCACACAGTAGCTGTGAATACATGGAAGGAGAGGGATAAATAATTAATTGTTTTTCAGTCTCTTCACAAGTTTTCTTGCAGCTGCAAAATCCTGCTGCTGTCCTGTGCAGACCTCTGTGTTTCAGGTGTGCAGCTCCTGAATGTCCCTTCTTAGAGGACGAACACCTAATCATGCAAAAGCTGATGGCTGCATCAGCAAAGCTACAGGGCTTAGGGCTGAACGGAGGCTGGAGGTTTTTTTAGTCACTGGTCATCCCTGCAAAGGGGCCTGAGTTTTGCAGGGAGAGATTTACCAAGCTGGTGACTCACCTTCTGAGAGTACTGCTCAAGAGGGCATGTCCCCCAGGTCACTGCCAGGGAAGCCTGTCACTGAGCTGTCGTCTTCCCCGGGCAGCGAGAGCAACCACCACCGTCTGCCTGATGCTGCCTGGGCTCACCTGGGGACTCCAGACAGATACCAAAAGCAGGAGTCTCTGCACTACAAATTAAGTAAAGCTACGGAGCTGTGCCTGTGTTAAACAACTCGTACTCCCCAAGGAGCTGGGCTATGCACAGGATGAGGATGTGCATTACATGCGCACAAACGGAGGCTGAGATGAAGAGTAAGAGAAAACTATTCCCAGCATGGGTTGTCTCAAGTAAGCAACCTCTCACCCCTTTGCTGCCAACAGGACACGATGCTCCTATCCACTGCAGATCTCCCAGGAATAGGAATTTGCAGCGCTCTCCTAAGCTTCAGACCTCCTGTGTCTTCACATCAGGCA